AATCCTTGGCTCAAGAATATATGCCCTTAGATGAATGCTGTATGTGACAGTTCATAAAAGTTACAAGTGTCTAATCTCTTGCACACCTGATTGTGGACTTTGCTCTGCAATTCTCAATATCATCCCATATGGATGAGTTCACATTGCAAGGAACATTCATGACCGAGTCTCCCACCAATGATGTTTACCTCTTCCTATTCCCCGCCGATGTAAATGACACAGATGGCCATTTGACTGTTCACCTGCCCCTGGAGAGCGAAACATACTACTGGTCCTTCGATCCTGAAGGACCCAACCGCCTGCCTCAGGATGCCTTGGACGAACTCACACTTCCATGCGTTAATTTTAGGGCCATAGTAGGTGGGGTCAAGTGGCGAAAGGAGGTCTATGATTCAATTGCCGAGTTTCACCATGCAAAAGCCTTTGATCCTAACAGCCAAGATGTCGCCATTGAACTTGAGTATCCCCTCATGGATATTGAGAGGTTGAATAATCTCATCAACGATGGCAAGGTACATGTACCCGTTCTCGTCATTGAGTGCAAAGAAAATTGAACATTGGCCCAAAGATCCAAGTAGTCGATGAAGTTGAAGGGCAAGAGGGGGGATATTGAACATATATATATACCCGCCAGTGATGTAGACATTTTTGTGCTCCCTCGTGCATTTGAAAATTTGGAGGAAACCGGCTTAGCATAATTGAATCCACACATTAAAAATACATCAATAAAGAAAGAAACACCAGAGCAGTCAGATAAATATCAACCGCCCGCGCTCATAATTATTCCCCCGTTCCCGGAATTGAGAACATTTAAAAATCTTCATCCTCGCGGACTCGGTTTGGCCTACAGATCAGATCCGTCAAGAAGGTGGTATGAATCGAAGTGTTTCGTCTTTTCCTGGCTTTGTATCCCACCAAGACAATTAATGTATGGTGCGACTAATGTCCTAAGAATATACATACCTCCAGCATAGTGAGTTCGATCTTTTTTTACAAAGCTCCCAACGCAGAGCACAAGGCTGCGAAAGCCCCCAAAAGAAAGTGAAAAAGAGTAAAGAACGAAGAGAGGGAAAAAACAATGGACGATAAAAAAATGTTACTATCGACTCCATATCGGCTACGAGGCGCCAGAAAGCCCAATACCACCAGCCAGTCCTGTCGTGCCGGGGAGAAGCACGATTAGGACGCTAGGAGCAAACTGAGGGAGGGTAAACGGCGTAATCGGGGAAGACGAAAGAGAAATAAGCAAACGAGCAAGAGGGTGTAATGTGTGACCCTAACACTAGCCTCCACAAAATGACGGCAGGACTCGTAGGAAGGCAAAAAACGGGGCAACAGAAAACGGGTGGGTTAAAGAGGCTCGAGAGTGGGCAAGAGAAGAGGGAAAAATGAATGAAGAAAAGAACGAGGAATAATAATAAAAAGAGGGAAAGAAAAAGGCGGCACGCAGCTTGCGACGTACCAGCCCATCCACTGCACCCCTCGCACGGCACCCCTACACCCGACGAAGCGGCGCTCTATTGCCCACAACGATGGTAGGCTGCGCCTCCCATGTGCACGCAGACGCCCCGTATCATAATCCACCACATCACGCTCTCTCACAGTACCTCACCGCGCTCATCTTGACGCGTCCAACAGTAGTCGTGCACCACGAAGACCGATGATCGCAGAGCAGAGCACGCCTCCACCTGTCCGAGGCACTACACCCGCCATGCACGCGTTGAGACGCATCTATCGGAGTCCCAGATAACCACGCACACCCCGTCCCCTACATCGCCGCCCCAACGACGATGCCACGCACCGCCCCACCTCCTTCACATGAAGAACGCACCCGCAGCACCGTACTCGCGCTGTGCCTCTCGACACGCCATGTTTTCCCTGCGAGCGCGGGCCACCGGCGCCACGAGCCCTCGCCCACGAAGCCGTGGGGAGGGGGTAGTGCGCGGGAGAGCTGACGGCAGGATCTCTGCTTAGCTCGATTGCGATCGCGGGAGGCGTGGTGTGCGGGAGCCAAGGAGGGACGCGTGGGGCAGACACAGACCGTCGTAGCAACCGCAGGAGAGGGAGTGGCCACGCGTGGAGGAGGGGAGGCGACGCGGGGTCATGTATCCACACGTCGAGGAGAGAGGGATACACGGCGCGAGAACTGACTCGCCTGGTCCTTTTTCCGCCATCCCTGTACCATCCCGATGACCGCCTCCGCCGCCTCAAGCACCACCACACTCACGCGGGTAAAAAACACGCTGCCCCACTACACATACGCTTGGGGATTTGTTGCGAGCGTGTTGGCGCAGGCGTTTGAGGCGCGCTGGCGTTTGCGGTGGCATGCGAGGCGGCGTGGGTGCACGGTATGTGGGAGGGCGGTGGTGGAGGCGGAAGCGGGGCTATACCCACGGGCGTGGAGCGTGAGCGGCCACCTCGGGGGAAACCGCAACACATTACATCCCGCCGGCGTGCAGAATGGGCAAGAAAAGCGGGGAACCGGCGTATACCGACGGTGTTTCGGCTCACCATCCGCTCCCCATGAATACCCAGGTTAATGTGCGCGGGCGAATCGGCGAGTGGTGCGGCGTACAAGGAGCGGCGGCAGCGGCGGACGGGAACGCCGCTGATGGTTGCCTGCGCGCAGTAGGCGAGGAGGAGCACGCAGGAAGCGGCTTGGAATGTGTGTGCTATGAGACTCTGCGCTAGAACCGGTGCGGCGGCGACCGGACGAGAGCGCGCCAAGCAACGAGCAAGGAGCGCCTCATGATGCGTGCCATGTTTACCGCTGTTTCCTTTGCTTTCTCGTCTCCCTCCCCGAAACTCAACCCGATGGCGGCCACGAACATCCTCACAAAGCCGGTCCGCAACACCAACACCGCGACCGAGCCGCTGCGCCTTGCGGGGTTGTGGGATAGCGTCCGTGCTGCCCTTTTCTGAGCTCGCCAGTCGCGTCCCGAAGTCAAGGTCGAATTCCTCGGATCCGCATCTACTTAACGACCTAGCGCGGTAAACGAGCCCCGCGCCAGAATTTTCCGTGCACCACCCATCGTCCACGCTGCGCCGCGTGCTACTCACCATCCAGAATGCACCATCTCGCTCCCTCGCTCCCCGAATCTCATGCGGCGGAATAGCTAGCATGACCCTGCGGTCCTCGACTAAGCCCTCGCGCGCGGCGCCTCCCTAATCGTGTCGTACCACCCGCCCATCTTCTCGCCCATCAAGGCGCTCGCTCTCGCTAACCCGCTGCAGTCAACGCTCCTAGGCTGCGCCGCCGCGGGCATATCCATCTACAGCCCGCACACGGCGCTGGCAGCGTGTATGGCGGTGTGAACCGCTGGCTGGCGGGGCGCACTGGCTCGGGGACGGGCGAGGTAGAATTCTGGTGGAGCATAAGGACGAGGAGGAACGCGCGCCGGTCCGTTCTCCATTCCTTCCTTTGTTCCTTATTCTACCTATCCCCTCCATTCACTCGCGCTCCGAAAACCCCGTTAGCCCACCCGCGCCAGTCCAAGACCGGTCGCGTAGCCGACGCGGCTCGTCTCGCGTGTCGCGTTCCGCGTCGGGATCCGGTGGGAGCATGCTCGCCGGAACGCCCGCCGACCTGTATCTCAGGGTGGAGATGAGCCATGTGCGTTCGGTTTTTTTTTTGTTCTTTTTTTTGTCTTTTCTTTTCTGTTTGCTTATTTATTTCCGTACCTTTCATTGCGCCCTGCCGTCTTCTTCATCTCCCTCTTTTTCATCGCCCGTCCACACCGCACTTACCGCACCCGAGCACAAAGTCCTCGCCGCCCTCGCCGCAGGCACGCACGTCATCCTCTGTGCGGTCTTCTCATCCTACCTCCCTCCTTGTCTTCTCGACTTGACGCACTGCGTCTTTCCGTTCTTTCACTCACGCGATCTTTCGCTCCTTCCCGTCGTCCTATTCATTCCTTCTCCATTCTCCACACCTTTCCTACCTCCACACATTTCTGTTCATCTTCCTTGCCAACTGCGTGCCAACTAATTAATTAATTAATTATTGTTATAGGCGGACACAGAAACATCGAGCGCGGATTCCTCCCCGTTCTCGTTGACACATCCCGTGCCAACCTCAAGCTTCCGCCACACCTTGCGCCGTCCGAGGGGCGCGACGCCGAAGCTGGGCTACACGGTAGAGGTTCTGGGCGGCACTGCTGGCAAGCGAGCGGGACTCCCACCCGTTGGCGATCATGTAGCCCATTCTTCTGCGTAGTATTCCGCCCCATATACAGAAATTGATTCCTTCCCCGTTCTTTTTTTGTGTGCGTGGTCCATCTAATATAAGGAAAGTATATCGGATTCCCCCATTCACCGGTAGGATTCAGTCATTCTCTGCACCCCCGCACGCGCGAATGATGCGTAGTTGGGATAATTGCAGATTCAGGCAGGATCGCGAGAAGATTTACTTACAAGGATAACTTTTTCTGCAGGGGAAAGAGCATGTATACAGCTTTGAGGGAAAATGAACATGACTCGGTGGCGGATGGTCCGCGTCTGCATTCAGTGTACATTCCTCAAATGCACACCCAGATATATCGATGATGCCCGTTCAATTCGGGCCCGAGCCATGCACGGGTATTGACCTTTTTGCGAACCACTCGGAAGGATAATAAATGCTATTTCTCAGACCTTGTGTTCTGTTGCTCGGTACTGTACAGCATGTATGGTTTTCTCGCCGAATGCTAATAAAAAAACCCCCAACCAGAATAAAAAACAAAACAAAAAAGGAGGAAGAATCAACCTGTGAGCCCTCAGGATTTTGTGCGAGGTCGAACAAAAGTAAATGAGCTTGTATTTATACATGGTTCGGAGAAGAGGAAAGAGGCTCGGTGACGGATGGTCCGCATCTGAATCTAGTAGCGAGGCTTCCCGACAGCAATTTATACAGATCACAATGCCTGTTCGATTCAGGATCGAGCCATTATCAAGTCCGAAAAAGATTATTTTTTCTCCCTAGCTAATTAAGAGACATGTATACAGCTTCAAGAGAGAACTACGGCTCGGTCGCGGATGGTCCGCGTCTGCATTCAGTGGAAAAAGCCTAAGCACATGTGCACACGCAGATAATGCCCGTTCGATTCGGGTCTGAGCCATTCACAGGTATTGACGCCACCCTTTTCGGCTCCCACTCAAAATGATATATATTCTTTATAATGGAGAGAAGAGCTCACATCATATGTATTTATACACGGTTGAGAAAAGGAGAATATGGGTCGCGCTCAGTGGGAACTCGCGAGGCACATATGCACACGCAGATGATGACTGTTCGATTCAGGGCCAAGCCATTATTGTGAGCAGCAGTGTTTTCTTTTCTCGGGCAAATTGAGAGGTATTTATACACAGTAGGCAGAAGGAGAATACGGCGCGGTGACGGATGGTCTGCGTCTGCGTTCAGTGCAGCGTCGGAGCACCCATTTACACAGACAATGCCTGTTCGATTCGGGCCCGAGCAATTACATATTCGTCTTAATGAGATTCTTTTTTGACCACTCAAATAATATATTTATAGATGACGGAGAGAAGAGCTCCAATTATACACGGTTGAGAGAAGGGGAATACGGATTGGTGGCGGATGGTCCGAGTCTGCGCGTTCAGTGCAGCTTCCGAATCCCCATTACGCAGACAATGCCTGTTCAATTCCGGCCCAAGCCACTCACTCTTGACTGGGATTTTCTTTTGGCTCCCCACTCAATTAAAAAAATCATATTGATATACGGTGGAGTTCCAAGTCATAGTAACACGTGATCGGATTGCTGGGGTGAAGGCACTTACTACTTGGAAGGCATTGGCACTGGATTCGTCGGCAGCTCCGACTCGGAGTGGCGAGAGCCGCTAGCCACTATATATATTGACTGTGCTCGTAATACAAGCAACTTCCCTCCTCAATTATACAACAAAACTTGCTGGGACAATTTTAAATTTACTTGGGGCCTGAGTGAATAAAGTTGGAGTGGACTAATATCCTGATTTCTGCCAAGAAGTCTCCGTCGTATGCATTAAGATCAGAGCCTTTTATTATCCTGCAACGAAATACCCGGACTGAAACTACGGTGTTTGGTTCGCTTGCGAGGTGATGGAAGGCCTTACAAGGTGGTTGGAAGGCCGTGCAAGACAGACAAGCAAGACATACTACAAGATATCGCGGTATATGTTTACGGACTTGCCGATGCAATACAGTCGGCTGGCTCATAATGCGTCAGGTCGGTGGACCCCCAGACAGCCCCGAGCCCTATGCATTATGAGGGATATGCATTGCCAAATTCTTCCCACAGTGTAACAGCGAAATTAACTCTTGGCCGTCGCTGGACAGATGCATAATTTTGGGATCTTTCTGAGTCCATATTGGCATCCCTATCGTGTCTGATGCCTCAGGAAATATTCTATGAAGAGAAATGCAGACTCAAAATCACAAATGTAGGACCGCAAGGCAACTCTGGAGTCGATTTTGCCCTAATATTATTGAAAAAATGCATAAATACTGGTTGAAGCCTGATGCATTATGTGTTGCAAGGATTTTGCATAAATATCAGCCTACCAACTTGGTGGATCACCAATCTCTATGCATTACGAGGATTATGCAGTATGACCTAATGCACTATGAGTTAGCTGACTGTAATCGCCTTCCCGACCGGGGCCGAACGCGACGGAAAACTTAGACACCCACTGACGTTAAGAATGAATGTGTCATGCACAGCCTTCTCTGCGCAGCGCTCTTCTTCCACCACCTACCCCGACCACTCACCCACCCGATGCCGAAGCAGGCCCGTCCATATCCACCTAAGCCTCCGACGACTGCAACTACGCCGCCAGTAGCCCGGTATCTGCCCGTTTCTACATAAACCTTGACAGAACTGATATATGCTAGATACACGGTATTCGACAACTGCCAGAATTTTACTGTCGCTGGGGGCAGTTTCATTGTACAGCCAAGCTCTAATGACTCAGATGAGAGCGGTGAGATCCCGCGTCCCTCTGAAGTGCTCAAACTGAAGTGTCCTTTATGCCAGATTTTCGGCGTGTGAGATGGGGTGATCTGAATTTCTTGAAAGATGTGGCCACACAATGTATTGTTGAATATCAAGATGTTCACCACAAGCGGACAGGAGTTGTGAAAAAACGTGTTGAACGGGTGGTTGGTGTGCGGAAATTTCGACATGCACGTATCTACGGGAGTCAGGAGACTGTCACCGCGGTTGTGTATACTGATTCTAATTTCGACAAGGTACTCCATATTCTACTCATTGTTACTTAGTTGTTCTCATGCAGAGTCCACAGCACCGGGCTCATGCTGAACGACGTGAAGAGTTTCGGTGACTTTACATATTTTCTGCAAATGCTTCAACACACTCTGATATTTTGCCCAGACATCCCTCTTTGGTTCAGTTATTCGGTATGACTTCAAGCTCTCACGGCCTCAAGGGGTTGATCTATCATGATGGTAGCTAAACGCATGCACCTCTCTAGAGAATCAGAATTTTGATACTATTCAGCTTTTGTGGAGCATGAAATTGTGTGTTTTCACCTTATTCGGTGTAATGCTCTCCCTTAATGTGAATGGGTTAGGGCAGGCATTTTTTGTGAGCTCAACTCAGGGATATTTGATATTCAACTCACAGTTCTAAGGCTGCACTTCATCACTGGCAGGAAGTTACTGGAACATTCCTAGTTGTCCGGAATTCATATGGGTTTTTGGCCCAGCTAGAGGTGGGCACGGTGTTGTGGATCCGCATCTCTACTGGGCAGTTGTGCATTGAGGTAAATGATGACGAGGAGTGGGATCCCACGAGACTTCCTACGTCGCACTCCATCTCCGGAGTTCATCTCACATTGGACACCAACTTGGAGGAGAAACTTCTTTCAAGCTTGTCTCTTTATGATATCCACCAGATATATCCGGCCAGTGAGATAGGACATTGGATTTATATTGCTGATCCAGGCACCATTTTGCTTGGATCTCTTTCCTGGCCTACAGCTGGCGGCGCACATCGGTTCAATCCATTTTCCGAAATTTCGTTATCGGACAGTCTGGGAATGGCGGATGTTTGTACAAGCAGATGGCAATATCTCCCATGCAGTTCTCTATCGCACGAGGGCCTTGTCACTTTACCAAATGGGTGGACTCGGTACGACTGTCGAATATATTAACCCTGATGCAGCTGATTAGAAACCTAGTGTTGAACTAGCAGATTTACCCAGCAGTGAAGAGTGTCGTCTATTTAAACACATATACCTGACTGTGGGAGGAGTGCGAGAAGTTCGAAACACTTGGTTCTCACAGGCAAACCATGTCGTAGATAAAACGGACTTGGATGCAGGTAAGTTTGTTCAAAAATAATTTCATTTCGTGCCTCTCTGATGTTTCCCCTCAGCCCAGCTTTGTCAGTGTCAGTTCATGCAAATTCCCAATTTCTAATCTCTTGCAGACCTGATGACAGCCCTTATTTTGCAAGTCTCAATAGCATCCCATGTGGATGAGTTTACATTGCAAGGAACATTCATGGCCGATTCCCCCACCGATCATGTTTATCTCTTCTTATGTCCCGCTAACGTTGACGGCTTGCCTGGTCACATGGCTGTTCGTCTGCCTCCAGAGAACGAAACATACTACTGGTCATTCGATCCTGAAGGACTCGACCGCTTGCCTCACGATGCCTTGGATAAGCTCACCCTTCCATGCGCGAGCTTTCAGGCCTTTGTATACGGGGCACAGTGGAGCAAAGAGGTCTACGACTCAATTGCCGACTGGGATCGCGCAAAAGGCTTCGACCCTACCACCCCAGATGTTGCAATCGAACTCGGGTATCCCCTCGTGGACGTGGAGAGATTAAATGACATTATTAACGCTGAAACGGTACCAACTCTTGGGAGTAAAAGAAGGAGGCATAGTACCTAGTTGGATTTAGTGAAACGCTAGGGGTACTAGTAGGGTGCAGGTAAATGTATAGGATGCGACTGCGCCCGGCTGTTTCGAAATATATTGCGAGGCGAAGTTACCTGATTTAAGAAGTACCCAAGCCAACGAAAGCAAACCCATACAGAAACTAATACTTGACGCAAGGACCTCAATGATTAACCAGCATTGGATGGGATGGAACTGGAGTATTTAATCCTGTCTTACTCCACCAATTCAGCATCCAATCATTTCAAACGAGGCTTGTTCTCAGTCCAACTGAATGGCTGCTTAGATCGAGCCAGTTTCTCCTTGCTTGAATTATGTAATTCAAGGTAAAGTCCCAGGGCATCGAAGTTCCAGTTCACATCCATGATCTGTTCTCCTACAACAATTGAGTTGTTCATACATTCTGAGGGGCCCTCAGGCAACTTTCAACATGTCCGTCTGGATATTCGGGGGTGAGGGTTTCCATTTTTTAAAGGTTCCTGTCCAGGCCGGCACCGCAGGGAGGGTTGATTTATATCTACCTCAGGAGAGCTTCGACACCATATTTCACGAGTGAAAAATGAGGCGGGAAATCCGACACCGATGATTCAAGAGGTACTTATATACAGAGCACGCGCGCGTCCGCGCAATTGGCCATTACGTGGGCGTGGTATACAGCCTATATAGGTGCCTGGTATTCGACACCGCATGTCCAAATCCTCCGGACAGCCACAGCCAAAAAAAAAAATCAGGAAGGGGTATTCTAGGATTGGGGCATTTGTTTGGTTTGGAGTTCGACACGATCATAATCTCGTTGATCAAGATCTACTTAAATACATGGTAAAAAAATATTGCTATGCGTGAGGGAGGAGGACGTCGCCGGTCGCAACGCACGACGCGAATAGCCGCGCAGCACGCAGAAGGGCATCGACGCGTGCCGCAGAAGAGCGTCGAATGCAACGATGAAATAAAGAAAATAGAGAAGGGAAAGGATGGTGAACAGAGAAGAAAGTAAGAGGCAAGGATGGGGAGAAAGCACGGGAGTGAAAGACAAAGAAACTCAGAAAGTGTATCGTCGAGATCACGATGCTCGCGAATTTATTTATCGCACTGGCGCGAAGACGCACAATCCAGCGGACCCGGTACTATCGCGCTCCAGGAGAAGAACGACTTGGACGTTATGAAGAGGGTATGGAGGGTAAAAGGTATCCTCGT